AGGCTGCCTCTGCCCTTGTCAGTCTACTCATGGTCAAGAGAAGAGTTTAGACTTGGGGTGCCAACATTCACTGGTGGGATCAGATAGGGCCACACATTTGAGATGAATACCAGTACGTACACATCTGCCATACAACACCAGCATAACACCTTCTGAGAGCTGATACTAACAGCAAAATACAGTATGTTCCCCTCCTCCTTCACCTCTAACTCACTGGTGAGGTTTGGGATCAGGAAGCTCACTGCAAGTATCACCTCTCTGAAGCTATGCACAGCCATGCACAGGCTAATCTGCCCACAGTAATCTGCACTGACAGCATAACAAAGGTGGCCTGTAGCCCATGATATGGGCCTTGGGGCCACTGCCAAGGTTTCCATGCCTGGTTGTGTCTCCTGAGAGGTTCCTATCCAGATCAGATATAAGCCACAATGACTGCTGTTAGCCCTTCTGCAAGCCCTAGTGAAACACTGTTTGGGAGGGCACTTGCAGCTGCAAGGCTGCATGCATACTGTGCTGGTTCATGCACAGGTTCCCCCATTCTTCTCGTGTAATAACCTTACTTGACTGATCCCAGAGTGTGCTGACCTCAGGGCAATGCTGGAGTATGGCTGACAGTACCTGCTGCCTTGAGGTTGGCCAAGCAATGCAGCTGGGGTGGGAAGCATGCATGGTGTATTACTGTGGTGGGAAGAGTGAAAAGCTACGAGGCTGTAGCAACCACGTAGTACCACGTAATACCTATAAAGTCATGTTCTTTTACCTGTGGTTTTTGACTCTTGAGTGCTTGAGCACTTGTGTGTGTGAATCTGCTTGTGTGAGGAATGGGATTTCTTTGGCATGAGCAATTGGGGTCAGTTTCTCTTCCTCTGCCTCTGACCCTAAATCTGTTTGCTTCACCACCCTCATTGTAAAAAATTTCTTCCTTATATCCAGTCTAAATCTACCCTCCTTTAGTTTAAAACCATTACCCCTTGTCCTATCACAACAGGCCCTGCTAAAAAGATTCTCCCCATCTTTCCTATAGGTCTCCTTTAAGTACTGAAAGGCCGCAATAAGGTCTCCTTTCAGCCTTCTCTTCTCCAGGCTGAACAACCCCAACTCTCAGCCTTTCTTCATAGGAGAGGTGCTCCAGCCCTCGGATCATTTTTGTAGCCCTCCTCTGGACCTGCTCCAACAGGTCCATGTCCTTGTGCTGAGGGCCCCAGAGCTGGACTCAGTACTGCAGGTGAGGTCTCACCAGAGCAGAGTAGAGGGGCAGAATCACCTCCCTCAACCTGCTGGCCACGCATCCCTAGAAACATTCAAGGTCAGGTTGGATGGGGCTCTGAGCAACCTGATCCAGTTAAAGCTGTCCCTGCTCACTGCAGGGGGATTGGGCTAGATGACCTCTGAAGGTCCCTTCCAACCCAAAGCATTCTATGATTCTATGTTTCTATGATTTAAATATCTGAGGAACTGGGTGCATTGGTCCCAGAGGCTTTGTATAGCAAGTCGTACTGTGGCAGGACCCTACTTAGATGTTTGATGAAATTTTTCACCTAAGCCACCGCTATTCTGAGTTACACGTAACCTGGATTAGCATCATAAGAATTGAGATAGGCAGCCCTGAAATATTTGAATTAAAAGTGACACTGCTTGATATCATGCCAACAACACACAGCAGTGAGCTGCCAAGCTGTTGCCAAAAAGGATGAAAACACCCCCGTTCCTGTGCCTGCTCCAAACATATGGAGACCAAAGTGACAGTGAGAAAATCACTTTAACACACAGCTTTTCTCTGCATAAACACATATAGGAGCTAGTCACTCACAGTCTGGAAGGGTGAATCCTGTTCTGTCTTTAGTACATGGAAGAGAGAAGACATTGTGGGATAATACTTCTGATGAAGTGGGTTTGCTTAAAAAACTCTTACTGCATTGCAGCCATTAATAATAAAGAATAGTAAGTATAAACTATTGCAGACATTACAAATTAGTGATGTATTTTGTGCAAGGAGTAATCAGTTAAGTTTCTATTTAAGTTCAAGGAAAGGGATGGTCCGTATCATTGCAGAGTTTAAACTGGAGATAAGCAATTACACAGGCTTTCTGATGCACTGAATTGTGTCTACTGGCAAATGACTGAATTGGGGTCTGGCGTCCTGGTTTCTTCCTAAAGTGGCCGAGGGTCACTTCATTTGCCTGGCGCAAGGTAGCAGTACCACAGTTCTCCCTCTGGGTCTGGGCACAAGGCTTGACCCCAGCCCACTTGCAGCAGCCAGGAGAAGGAAAGATGCTGCAGTCTTCTGATGGGGTGGGCTCTGCCAGCCATCCTGGGAGTGACCTTCAGCACCCCCAGCCTCACTGGCCAGTGCTATCGCCCTACTCTGAAGGTGATTAGAAATGAGATTTTATGGTGTCTGACAGACTCATTCAGAAAAATCAGGGAGAGTTTTGAAAGAAAGGCTGTGGAATAATCCTGCTCCAGTTTTAAAGAGATTCTTGGACATTTTAAACTGTTTTTTATCTGTTACTCCACCAAGTGTTCAGTGATATTAACTCCTGCCAAATGTGTGGTGTTTTTTGAAGCTCAAGGGTAGACATCAGGTAGAGCTGAAACAGTTACAAGTCAGATAGTTTTGTACTTAATTGTGAAGACTAGAACTAGGACTGGGACCCTAACTGAAAAGCTTAGCAGAGCTGTTGTGCTTGGAATAGCTTTATCTTCAATAGAGAAAAAGGATCGTGTTTAACTGTTACTAAATAGTTACAGGTAAGTCAACATGTGCTTTCATACAGTGAGCATAGAGCTACTTGTGCTTACAAAGGAAACTACTGAAATAAAATTATTTGCTGAACCACAACAGAATAGATTCGTGGGGTTTTTTTTAAGGTTTGAACACATGCCAACAAATGGGAATTGGATTTTATCACATATCAGCACGGTTTCTTCTGTCACAAAGCAAAGCTGTTTAGAAGCAGAAGTTACATTTTCATATCTCTTTAAAAGAAATTTCATTCCTGTGTAAACGAGCTCACATAATTTTCAAGCAAATCCCTTACTTCTGGTTTATCATCAACAAGTCTTTAAGTTGAAAATTAAAAAAAACAAAACAAAACAAAACACCAAACTAAGCCAAATGAAACCAAATGAAACCAGAGGTCTGTAACTTAAAACACAGATATGCCTGTTCACTTAATCTGACTGGCTGATAACATTTATCAGATATGGTAGCTTTTTTTTCTTTCTTATGCTTCCAGAGCAAGGAGATAACTTTTAAAAATTATTTTCAAGGATCTTTAATAACAAAGAAGATTTACATTGTCTAATGTCAGTGCAAATCAGGAGTCATTCTCTTGGAACGGATGGAGTTGCACAGACGTAAGGAAAAGAACCGGATTATCGTTTCTAGTGAGCACTTCACTTGAGTTTCCATGAACATGTCGTTTCTCATTTTCCTCACGTTATATTTGATGGCTTATAGCAGTCAGTGACAGACTTAACGTTGTCCAGATTTTTGTTTCATAAACAAAACTTAACAAAAAAACACAGAGAAAATTTGGAGGCTAAGATTTATGTCCTATTATGTGATGTACTGTGATTGCATGTTGCTGACCTTGGCCTTTCTATTAACTTCTACACAGAAGATTGCTTGCAACAGAGCAAAATAAAAATTGTGTTGTCTGATGCAATTTTTGCTCATCCACAGTTCTTGAGCTGTGTCGGGGACAGTGTGGGAGGCAGGTCCAATAAAAGCACTGCTGGCAAGAAATTGTATTAAAGACTTGAACGTTTGGATTAGAAACCCATACAGGTATAAACACACACACATATTCCCTCTTAAAGTCTCTGCCATTCATGGCAATGCATCCAAACCAGCTGTGCTGCCAACTGTGCTTTCAAAAGTAGCACCCTTTGATGCTATGAATTCCTGCAGCACTGAACAGATCAGTTGAAGTCACAAAGGGAAAGATTCCCTTCATTCCCTAGGAAACAGTCTGCCTTTAACTTCTCCAGGTTCCTCTCATTTATTACAAAATGGAGACAGAAGGATGAGTGGTTTTTACTCCTGCTTGTTCAGCTTTGGAGACTTAAATAGTCTTGTAACTGTTTGGATTTCAAAGTATGATATTGTTTGCAATTTAGCCTTATGTGTTACCTCTGCTAGGAACTTCAAAGTTCTCTGCTGCTTTTTTGCAATTTTTTAAGTTTTGGCAACACTACCATGCATATTTCTTTAGGTTTGCTGTTGAAAAGCCTGGAGATTATAGACCAAGTAGTAAAGGCTACTAGACATATCTTCTGATATCTGCTCTGTTTTTCTTTTTGGTTTTATTAATATAGCCATTTCCTTTTTAAATAGGAATACTCATCAGTGGGTATTTATTACATTATTTACAATGACTACCAAGTTCATTTTGACTAAAGAAATGCAAACCTTAAAAGAAAATCTTTGGGTAATAGTTTACACTGCATATCACCTGACTTTTTTTTTAATTTACCCACAGTAAAACAGTGCAAAATTAAGCATATAAAGCTAAGCTAGATAACTGGAAAGAAGTTTGAAATGAGGGATGCAGGGTAAGTTTACTGCAGTGCATATCAGAAAGGAAAATGTAGATGAAATGCAATCTTAGTATTCTATAGTTTCCAGTCATATGGAGAACATATTAGTTACAGGTAAATGAAGTTTGAAAGAAAGAGAGCTTCCTTTGACACCATGTACTCATTCCTCACATTGTTTTAATTTCAGAAGTTAAAACTACAGAACTGAAATATTGAACCATGTATATTCTGTATATTCTGAAACCTTTACTATGAACTTTCACACTTGCAAAAGAATGCACCCAATGTTTCATAATGATGAATACATAGTTGTGGCTCTGTTTCAAGTATCTCTGTATCTTGGGCAAATAAATCAGCTTACAGCATGTCTGACTAATAATTAACACATACAGAGCCTTCCTAGAAAACCATGGTCTGCAGCTTTCTGTTCAGATTTCTTTCTGAATATTAACTGAAGGTACTACATCTACAGTAAATGGACGTTTACCAATAAGTGAAGCACAAAGAGCCTTAAAAAAGGCTGCTAGAGGCAGAATAATGTGGCTCAAAAGTCAGATTTTGCTCCTATATTGCATTGTAAGTGAAGTTTGGATGACAAAGCAGCTTGACTCTAGAAGAAATTTCCCCCGAGGACTTTACTCTGTCGAAGACGGCGGTTCTGCGAAGTGGAACAGGCTAAAAAGGAGTCTGTATCAGGGAAAGTCCTGCAGGTTACGAGGCTGCTGCACAGGGAGAGATGATACCTGCAGCTTTAACATCGTCTCCAAAGCAGCCATATGTTACTGTGACCAGTTCTGTGCCTCAGGTTCTCCTGGCCCTGTAGACTGCTGTGCTGACTACTGGGAAGTCTGTGACAACCCTGTTGAGCCCACCAGGTCAGACAAGCGTTGGCCACCTCCAGCATCGGGTACGTATAGAGAAAATGCTCAGTTGGCATCACAATGAAAATATACTTGGAAGTAAAATTACTCATTAATCAGTATACACAGTGTATACATCCTAAAAATGTGATTAAGACATAGTGGATAAAGACACCAAGTATGAAACTGGAGTAAGAATTATGCTTGCTGTTATTTTTTTGTCTGTAGGGACAGACTTTTAGCATTGTTTAGATCATATTTGTGCTGGATGGAACCTCTGTTTTACCTGCAACTTCTCAGAGATAACCTCATTGGATCAAAATGAGTGTAATCTCATCAGTATTAATAGATCTTCACAGACTAACATAAGATGAACAGCAACCTCTAAATTTTTGTATCCATCAGGGCTAACAAATCACCAAGAAAATTGGGGGTTATCCTGAATGGTACTGCTGTGAGGTATTCTGCAATGGTTTTGATCCAGCATAGCTTTCTTGTGGGACACCATTTTTCCTGCAACAGCTCAGGTGCAGGGGTAGGTGAAGGGATGTGGTTAGAACAAGGATTTCTGGCATATTCTAGTTTCTTACTAGTTAGTTTTTTAGGACTAGAGATTGCAAAGAGAATTATCTGCAAACAGCTGGTCCTCCCTTGGTTCCTGCATGGGCCAAATCTCTGTTGGTGAGAGAAGTTCAGAATAGTGGATTTTAAGACTATGTAGCTTCTTGCTATTGGTAGACCACATCTGGCTGAAAACGTGGAGACTGTACCAAATTTTCAAAAGCCTAAAATCAACAAAAATACCACCATAACTTTTTAAAATTAACTATTTCTTTGCAATAACCCTGCTGCTTGCATTCCGACACTCAGACTGGGAGCTCTTTGGGAGACTGTGCTCTTAAGCCAGGCATGCAGCCAAATTCTGATAAATGGTAGTGACAGAAATGCTGTAAAACAAATTTGATTTTCCAAAGTGTTTCTAATCATCTAAAAGAATGTTCTATGATTTATGTAAATAAAGACATTTGTTTCATATTTATTTGGTGCAGTGGTGTATATTATTTCCAACAGATCAGGGGGTTGTTGTCGTCAGCTCTACATAAACATTTAGCAGCATTTCTGCTCCAGAGCTGACAGCCTGTGGGTCTAGTTTGGCAAACTGTATCATGGAAACGAATCACTACAAAACCTGCAGCAGTTTGCCATGTGAGCCTTGCCATAGGTCTACCTCTAAAAAGTAAAAGTGTAACTGAAGGTTTAGATAAGGGAATAGGTGAGGGGTAATATTTTTACTGCCTTTCTTAATCCAATTTTTTGCATGGGTGTTCACTGTTTTGTAACTCCTGGACTGACCATGCCTGCCAGAGGAAGCAATTATATTTACTTTATTCAAGCACCTTTATTTGTCCTATAGGTGAGCTTGTATATATTTTTTTTTTTTAATATCTCATCTCAAAACAAGATCCTGTTTTTCTGATCCTTGAAGTGCTTCATTGTAGGAAAGTCTGCATCATTTTTTTAATCTATTTATTGGAGATTTGTTATACAAGTAATTTAAAGGGTAAAAGGAGAATAACAAAGCAGTCAAAATACAGCAGGAAGAAAACTATAACTCTAAAGGAACTTTCTAGAACTGAAAGGTCTGAGGAACAGGGAAGAGAGAATGAAATCAGAAGGAAAAAATGGAGAAAAGGAAAAGACTGAATGTCTGAAGATTAGGCAAATTATGAAGCATTTTTAGAAATGACATAAGTATATTAGCTGACTTTTAGTAACTGAGACTACACTTCTGCCTTTGGCTGGGAATTATTTAAGCACTAGAAGACCACGTACGCCAAAGTACTTTTCACCTGGAAGATTCTGATCTTTTGGTTGCCTGTGGTTTTGCTCTCAGTGCTTCCTGAGTCATATTGCTTTAAATAAACCAATGAACTGAAGTGCTTTACATGGGCTGGAATGAACAACAATAAAACTGCTCAGCGCTTTATTTCTGGATCCCTGTCTCTTCAGTGACTTGGTGCACAGCAGCAGTAAGCTACGCTATGACTTCTTCCATGGGTGTGCACCATGCTGAAGGCCAGTCTTGATTTAACTATGTGGAACTGCTTTGACTTTGCCTTTATGAACCCAGCATTCAGTATGTTTTGATGGCTTTCCTGCGTAGTTTCAGAAGAGACTCCGCACATTCCTGCCTTAGATACCAAATAGAAATTCTGGAATTTTTTAAATTATTATTATAATTTTTGTTATTAGAAGAACTGTTGCAGTTTTATTTGTTGACTATATTTTTTTTTCTTTTTGTTTCAATTACTCTGACTGTACAAAAAACCCTGTCAGAGCCAACACACTGGATCTCACCCTGGTGGTGGTATAAAATTGACATCCAGAGAGTTTGCTAATTGCTTTTACACTACAGAGTCAGGATCTGGCCTACAAGTGAGTAAACCTGGAGACATTTCACTGACAGAGGTACTTTCCTCTGTACTGGGGGGCAAATGAAGTAAGACCTGTAAGGGCATAGGAACGCTGGACTGGGTGGGAAGTCCTCATTTGTCAAATACTCTTCCTTCCAATTATGATTTTCACATCATATAATCCCATTCATAAGGTCATCAGGCTGCATCTTCAAATTAATTAATTTCCCACTTAATATATTAATATTCCAACCTAATATATTCACGGCCAGACAACCTCACTGTGTTCTCATGCAAACGGCATCTTTTATCTTGGATATCTCCGCTCTCTGCCACTAATGCCTCCAGCAGCACTCGTGGCCCTCTAAGTCTTAGTTTGGCTAGACTAAAGAAATTGTATGGTTCAAATTTTCTATCCCCTAAGCATACATTATTAGAGAACTTCTTCTGCACTTGTCCAGGTTTGCATTTTTTCTCGGGCACGGGCTGTGAGGCCTGCCAGCAGAGCTCCAGAGAGGCTCTGTGCTGTCGCTCAGATGCTGCATCAACACTTCCTTCCCTCAATGTATTTGAAATATCTTGCTTGGTGCCTCCTTCCAGCTACTCTCTGACGCTGACTTTGTGGCAGACTGTGACAAACTGCGACATTTAAGTAATTTGCTTTGGGTATTCTCTGAAAAATGTCTCAGATCTTAGCAGAAGCTGAATTAGAGCAGACTCTTTGGGCCTCAGACTGCTTAGGTGGGATATATCTCACCTACGTCCGCGCTAGCTGACGTAGCCTGCTGTATGACTAACAGGGGAAGATAAGCACTTGTAATTAATTCATCAGCTCTAGTCTACTTCTGCACTTTGGTATGAAATTAGCTATGGATTAGAAGTGCGTATTTCCCTCCAGCCAATAAAGGAGGTCTAGGCAGCTGAGGCATACGTCTGTATGTCTGGGCAGACAAACTCCAGCCCTTGCCATGAGAGGGGGATAACCGTATGGTGGGAAAAAAGCGTGATGTAATGGAAATGCAAGTCAACACTATATTAATATGAAATATGGTGTCTATTGGAATGGTTTCCATTCTTGAAAATGGACGAGAAAGGACAACTTGGGGGTCTGGCTCCAAACCCTTTCAGTGGGGGAAGGAACATGATCTCTGCCTGTAGGCTCACCAGTGGAGGAACCGTGAGAACAGGCTGGAATACAAAGATCCTTGTGATGAATGTGCAATGTTTGTTATAGACTTGATCCGAAGTCCTGTGCAGGCATTCTGGATCTTTCTTTTACTGAAGGTTTGACAATCAAGAGCACTGAAGAAACAGTTTATGTGGAAGATCTTAAAACACATACAAAGTCTTTTCTCAGTGAAGTGTTATCAAAGAAAAACATTAGAAGACATGTATTTGTTTGGAAAAATCATCACTCAATTTAGGTTTTATCCTGGGTTCTGGAGAGTAAATGAAACATAAATTTGCCTTGAAACATAATAGATCTGTCTGGTTTTCAAAGAGGAATTAAACTGGTGGAGAAAAGGAATATATTACAGTAGGTTTGGAATAGTTATTAGTTTTTAAAATTCTATAACTGGAAAAACTTATTTCTATTTTAATTGCCAATTAGAAAATGATTTTTATTAGAAATTTATTCTTTTTGATTTTATTAGCAGAAAATTACTTTAGTTGAAGAAATATTTTTATTTGCATGTATGATAATAATTTTTCAGTGGGTGTTTTCAATCTGTTGCTGATTTTATTTGCTATGAATGATAATGTACCTGGTAAAAAATTAAAATACATGAAACTGCCTTCATTACTTGGAAGAAACTGGAAATAGAAATTGTCAACTTTCAACTAAATTTATGCATACTGCATACAACGAATTAATTCAATCGTAGCAAGAGTTTTGAGTTAATTCACTTCAAAAATGATTTTTTTTCACACATCTATATGTTATGTTGGCAGGTTGTTATAAAGATGGCCGATACTACGGAGAAGGAACAATAATTAAAGACAACTGCAATTCCTGGTAATGTTTCAGAAAACAGCAAATTTAATTTTATTTAGCATATGTCATGAAACAGGAATTAAGGTAGTGAGTATCCTTAAATTCGTATTAAACATGTAATCAAATCAAAGTGGCTGGAAGAATAGTGCTGTATTAAGGTATTGTAGAACTAGATTACAACCAATTTAAAAGACTGGCAAGAGGTCAATGGGTTTCTACTTGAGATATGAAAATAAGAGTATTAAAATCTCCTCTTTACTGGCCTAATTCTGTTCCAGCTCAGTCAACCTGCTGGCTCTGACCTGAGTCAAAATGGTTTCAGCCTAGACCTGGGCATTGACCTGAATGCAGACAAAACAAGTATCATTAAAGTTTAGGGGATTATTTTCGAACATCTTCCTCTGTTTCTTTGGCATTAGTGATTAGACCTTACATTATTTCATACGGGAAGAATATATATCTGCACATTTATGTAGGAAAGGGATGAACTGTTTGAGCATCCCTTTCTCTGCCTTGGGACAGGAACAGACAGCACAGGCAGGGGAGCTCTGCTGCCAGCCCTGGCAGTCGGCTGCCTGAGCCGCCTCCCTGCTTTGCCTCTCCGAAAACCAGCCCTACACCTCCAGCCCCAGGGCAGCCCGGGGGGCTCCAACAGCACCCGAACAGGGCTGGGGCCCCCACTGCCCTGACTTTAGCCCAGGGTCCTTGGAGCAAGGTGTCTATGGGCACATGGTCCCTTCCTGGGTTTCCAGAGTGAAACTTCCTCAAAACATCTCATTTACAGGACATTGCCTTTTTTCCCTGATTTGGTCTCACAAAGATGGAAGCAAAATTTTTCAAATACGACCTTTCCCACAAGCTGTAAACCTTCCTACCTTGTTCCAGTTAGGATTCATTAGGTAGTGAAATAGCGAGAAGTAGCATTGTGTCTTCATAAATACTATGTGACGTTAATATTGTTTTTGCTTTTTTCCCTCCATCTTCCTTCTGCTGTTAAAGTGCATATTTTTCCTTTGACAATTCATCTTCTGCTCAGTGATATTCTTGCCCTTTCAGCAAATGCTTCCAAAGTCTCTGGAAGTGTTCAAAAGAGGTATGCCTTGTTCGCCAAGACTTAATTCAGAACATCAATTCTGGAGATCATGGGTGAGAACACTTTTAAGGTTTTCTTGTAAACCACTGTATTGCTCATTGTATGTATGTACAAATTATAAGTTATGCAGTCCTCCCCACCCCTTCCTTCCCCAAACACATTACAGCAATTTGACAGTAAATGTACATCTGTGAAACTTTCCTAAATCTGTGGCAGTTATAGTGTTTTAAATGGAAAGATACTGAAAGTTGCATGCTGGTAAGAGTTGACATTGTAAACATCTTTCTAAAACATTTTCCAAATTTAGTACAATTTTTTCTTCTCACAGAACACTATTTAGATCATCTTCCCTTATTCTTCACTTTATTTATTACTTGGGTTAGATATTTGAAGTAATTTTTTCTCCTCCCTCAAGAGCATTGTGCCACATAACAGGACTATAGGTAGTGTTGGAAGAGGAGAGGATGGGCCAAATGGGGACCAAGATATCAGAACTTTGTGGGGCTCGGTGTTGTTCATGCTATCAGTTCTCCTTTCCACCAGGTAGTGCAGAGGGATTAGGGACACCCCAGTAAGGGAGCTGTGCCTTGGGAGCCTGCTGGCCATTTACAGACAGAGATACAGGGGTTGCTTCCCTAGGAGCTGAGGTCCTACATTCACCAATGAAGCCTGCCCAGGTTTTAAGCTGTGACTTAGTGCTGAAATATTTTGTACTTCATAGGAGACAATCAAACCAACTGAGTTAGGATAGACAATTAAGCTAGGCACCTGGAGCCCTTCACCTCTCTCCTGTCAGTGGTAAGCAGTAAAGTTTGCCACAGGGTGGTTAAGTCCACCTGAGATATGACTCAACTTCTGCAGGTGCTTGCACTCTTCACTGACTACAGGCAGACCAAGAGCAATGAGGCTTCTCATTTGGGCAGTATGAATCCTACCTCCTTGTTCCTCATACACAAGCAAGAAAGAAACAGGTAAAGAGAATGCTCTCCCCTGTGGCTCAGATCTTCTACAGTAATAATAAATTTCAGTGTGTTCCAAATGTGTATGGCTGCAAGGTATTTTTTTTTTCTGTTGTGCATACAGTTTGCAGGGTAGATGCTACAATCTGAGTCTAGTCCACTAGAGAGTAGGGAGGGCATAATTAAAGAGCCATGGGGAGCCCTTTCTCTCAGTCTGGCTATTGGTGTAAAACTCAGGCAGAAAATGTCAGGTGGGCTTTCTGCTGGATTCAACAGTGTCTCACTGCTGGTGCACCTAGAGCTTGAAGGCAATGTAACTCACTACATGAAGCTGTTAGTTCTCTGTGGGCATCTAGTCTGAAGCATAATTTAAGCATAACTTCAAGACAACAGTAATTGGTATGACTGAGCATCTTGTTTTCCAGTACTTCTCTGAAGCTTTGCATGCTCATCTCCTGCAGGCTGACATGATGCTGACCTCAAATCACCACTTTTAATCTACTGCTGTGTTTCTCCATCCTACACTCATTTGCAGTGGAAGTGCCTGTACTAAATATTTTCTCATGCATATTGAATACAAGGTTTTGAAATGCAATTTGAAAGATTTATTTCTGGAGGTTATTGTTAGTGGTGCCCTTACAAAGGAGCAAGATATTAAGGTGAGTGGTATCTCTAACCTGGATTTTATTTGTTTTCTGCCTGCGAGGAAGATGGAAAGCAGACAACTACAGTCAGTTCTGGGGAATGACAGTGGAAGAAGGTTTCAAAAAGCGCCTTGGCACCTTCCCTCCATCTCATTCCTTGCTGAATATGAGAGAAGTTCCAGTAAGTGTCATGTACAATTGTTAAATTTTTTAATAAGTTTATCACATGGAAAAATAAATGTGGATGTGGACAATTATAAAATTATGATTCAGGGATTTAACATTAAATGCTTCCATGTTGAGTAGAAAGCTCCCAGAGTAGTTCTCCAAGCCACAGAGTGTGGTCCTGTTGATGGAAATCAAACAAGGAGGAGTAAAAGCAAATGCTAAGCATTGGAAAGCTGTGCACCAATATTAACTTATCACTGTAGATCACTGGTGTTCAAAATTTTTGCTTCTTTAGGATGGTTCCATACTACCCTCTCCATTTGCTAATCATTGCACACATAGCTGTAACCATAAAAAAAAAAAAATCTGGGCATAGTTCATTAAGGCTATCAGCTGAGACTAAACACCAATCTTTGAAAGAAGCTCTGAAAGCCCATAGGATAAAGCAATGTAAAGATGCAGTAGGAAGCTGGGGTTTTGGCCAAATGGAAAGAAAAATGATGGGAAGCATGGGAGAATGAGATGATTCTCTACTACCAGCTTTCTAAGCCTCTTGGCCATGGCCATTTTCATGACAGCTAAATTAACTTTCCTATCATATATTTAAGCTCAAATTAGTTCTGCTGCAAAGCAAATATACTTTAAGCTATGTATGTAGGTTAAGAAATTAAAGAAGAAATGCATAGTTATTGAATCCAGAGTAGATTTTTCCAGTGCTTTGGATCAGTTACTTAGCTTCTTTCTTAGAAGACCCAAAATTATGGAAATCATAGACTGAAAAAACTACCTACCTCACTATAATGAAATCAGAAAAATTGCAAGAACAAGTAGATAGATCCAAGGTTTGCAAATGGCATTAAATATGACAGGTTTTTATCTTTGGCTTCTATATAGTTCAGGCAAGTGATGCCATTTTATTATCCAATTGAAGTCAATCATTGATGCTTGTTGTATATGTCTATGGCAGAAGGCTTCCACATCATGGAAGGCCTTGTGGGGACAACAGTGCAGAGCTACCATTTGACAGGGAATTTGGGAAAGAGGGGGAGGACCATGTGCCTCTGCAACATTTTTAACAATTCTAACCCTTTTTCTTGGTGCAGACTGGTTCTTTGTCCCACAAAAAGTCAGCTCGCTGCACCAGCATGGCGAGGCATTGGGTTTTGGTTGCCAGAGCAAGAAGTTGACAGAAGTTAAGCTTTGGAGTTTTGCCATGTATGATTTGCTAGACTACTCTTCTCAGCCAAAGAAGGATCCATTTCAGTTGAAAATGGCAAGTCAAAATAAGACAATGGCATAAAAGTGTTTAGTGTAATATTAGTAGGTATCTGCCACAAATTACCAGTGCACTGCATTGAGGGTCAAGAAAGTTGGGGTTGATTTGTTGCTGTTGTTGCCTTTTTCCTTGAGGAATACAGTGTGATGCTTATATAAGCAGAAGCAAAAAGTGGGTATCAGAGAATGATAGAATGCTTTGGGTTGGAAGGGACCGGTAGAGGTCATCTAGCCCAATGGATATCATGTACCTGGATCACAGATTGACATCTATATTACTAGGTATCTAGCTAGGTGAGACAAATCCCACCTCAGAAAACAAGAAAGGGAAGGTTACAAGAAATTCTTTATGATATTTCCTCTTTTCCATTCAGTTTGGGGTAGCTGGTCGCTCAGTGGTCCTGCATTATGTCTAGCCTATTGAATCATTGTTATTAAGCTTCCTGTAGCTTCTTTGACTGCTACACTACTTATGGCCTTTGTTCCACTGATACATTTCTCAGGCATATTTTCTCTATCTGCTATCTTTTTACAAAATCTGTGAGACACGACCCAATTACCTTTGGCTCTGCCAGACAGCCAAGGAGCTTCAACGCATTCATTTAGCCCTCAGGAAGTCCTACATGTTGCTGGAAGCACAAGCCTTGCACAGGATTTTAAGAAATCTTTCTCTCTACTTACAAAAGCTAAAAATATAAAATAATAATGTCTGTATGACTTTCTCAGCTTCCGGAGAATTCTTTGGGCTTGCAACAAATGGCTCGGAATTGTCCATGAGCCCATCTCCTACCTATGGCTTCTCTTCAGAATTATTAGAACTTTCTTGCTCTTACCCCAGTGTTTTCTGTCTTAGCTAGTCTTGATGTAAAAATATTTTTTCTCTGAGGCTTCCTGCAAAGCTCCAAATCTCCCTGATCCTGTCCTCTTCTACAGTTTTCTAGAAGAACATAATCTCTTTAGTGTCCTTGTTCTGCCTTGGGAAATTTCCTGTCTGCCACTTTTTAATACTTCACAAAAATGTTCAAAAAAAAAAAAAAAGGTTTTCTTCACTCACAGCTAGCTCCATATCTACCATCTCTGCATGATCCAGCAATTTCATAGCATGGATTGGGCTCACCAGGGGCACATCGACAGATTCTTCCAATTGGCAAAACAACAGCAGCCATGGAGTTAAATTCCAGGCACTTTTTAAGATAAGTATCTTACCAGATTTTCAGAGACATTTGCCCCTGCTTCACATTTCATGAGTAATTTCCTGTCACTGATATTTTGGGAAGCATACTAACACATTTACAAAATCCTAAGTGATAAAAAACAAGTGAGTTTTCATGACAGTGTTTCCATTAAGCTTCACCTGTAACTAGGTGACAGCTCAGAAGAGAGTAAAAAGATATGAATGATGAAACTCAGAAATAAGGACTTTTTAATATTTTTCAGAGACATTCTCCAAACCTTAATGGTTTGACCTTTAAGTGACTTTGTTGAGTACTAATTCATCTGCAGGCCAAGGTAGTAGTTACTTACTGTGGATAAATTGGCACTAATTAAATATTCATGCATTCTCTGGGATTATTACTGCTTTTCCCATTTTGCAAGCGAGAAAACTGCAAGTCACTTGCCCAAAGTCATAACTTTAGTTGATAAAAATGCTACAATTATTGTTCAGGAGTTTTTGGCTCTATCTTGTGCTGACCGGATTAAAACCTGGTAGCTTTGTTAATGTAGAAAGAAAACCATAGGTACCCATTCATTAAATACAACTTTTTTTTTTTTTTCCATTTAAATAAATCTCATTTCTTCAGCATGCTACTGGTCTACTATTTAGGGAAGAAATTACAGTTTCTGGTACCTAAGGGACAGCTGTTATGATTATTTTCTAATGCCTTTTGGGGATGCTCGAGAAAAACATTTTTGTGCAGAAGGTGCTCTTTATTCAATTGCATGGAAAAAGAAGAGTCAAGAGTGTAAAGCCCTTCTGTGTTAACCACTTTACATGTACAGCAGAGTCTTAGTTCTCAGCAGTATTGAAAAGTTTGGTTGTGGAGTAGAGGCTTTTGCGTTGTTTCTTTGACTGACATATCCAACTACAAATATAGCTTCATAACATTACCTCAGATTAAAAGGTGTGATAGAGCTACATTTCATCTATGAAGTTTCACTACCATCTATGTAGTTTCACCACTAAAACTGTTGTGACCCTGACAAAGCTGAAGCTCTCAATAGCGTCATGTATGTTTTCTGAGAAGGCGTTTTGAAAGAGTTTACTCACTGCAGGAGGTAGTGTAATCATTCTTGAATTTCTATGTAGCACAAAAATAATGGCCATGCCTTTAAAACACATAGTGATACACGTTTGATGTTATTCTGTTAGTACATGTTCTGGCAAGAGGTACATAGCAATGGTGGGGTCTCCACTTGCCAGCAACAAGGTGCTCACCTAAGTGCCATCTTACAAGAAAATGTCATACATAGTTTAGTAATAAGGCACCATTTTGGATTAAGTATCAAAGAACAGGCAAAGACAATTTGAAGGTGTAAAAAGTACACCAGCTGTTCCTCAGATATATGGCTTTTCATAGTAGAAAACTCAGCAGTTGTAGATCTGCCTCTTGCAAACTGAAGGTCATGCACACTCATTTTGTCTTCACAAAGCAAGTGATGTCCAGAACCTTTTTCTTACATTAAAAAAACCTATTGATTTCCCTCAGAAAAACTATTTCCACATTTGCAAATTCAGTAATCTTCAGCCTTTTTTCTCTGATTGGCCATCTAACTTTTCTGAAGAAGTCATAGCTGAAGTATGAGTGGTCTTTTATATCCACTTAACTTCTGCTTTGGCCAGACTGCTAGTTTCACTGCAGAGAATACATATGAAGGTTTAAAAACAGTTTGCCAGTTATTTTGCTGATTGCATTGTGCTGTCTGATGCTGGTCCATGGAGCATACATTGAGAAACAATTGTCTAGACTTACTATTTGTCACAGAACAGCAGTGCTTCTCAGTATCAGGGTAGCAACTTCTCAGACAAAAAGCTAACGTTTCTGGCTAAGGGTAAATCCTGCATTTTTAAATGACAAGGCTGAGGGTTAATGAGGGATTTGCTCTGGGATTTACAATATGAGGCTATTAAATACACTGGCAGTAGTTTAGGAATACATAAAGTTACACATTGTCTCACACGAAAAATCTATTTAGAATTTTGCTTTTCTCAACTGCCTCATTTGTAGCTTTGTTACGCAGTCATTGCCCACATAAGTGTGCTAAACAACCTTTGTGGAATTTTGCTTGTTTACTGGTTGATAGTGAGCAGTCTTATAATGTGAAAGAAACGCTATGTGTCTGGGACTTCACCTGTACTGATTAATTTTCAAATTAAATCTTGTGCTTGCTCATTAATAATGAACATAATGATAATTTAGCAAGATATTCTTTAAATTAGCTGTTGCTTTCTGTGTGTCATTTGAGGTTGCAAGTCCCATGTATCTAACAAGCTTTTGAAAAAGTAGACTTGTGAAAGTGATTAATAGAAATATTGAGATTAATATTTTAGCAAGATTTAAAAGATTACTGGTTTGTTATGGGTGGAGGTAAAACTTTCAAAAGCACTTAAGTGACTTAACAGCTTGCAGTATACTTGTCCTGGTTTCAGCTGGGATAGAGTTAATTTTCTTCCTGGTAGCAGGCATAGTGCTGTGTTTTGGATTTACTAGGAGAAGAATGCAGATAACACACTGATGGTTTAGTTGTTGCTAAGTACTGCTTATGCTAGTCAAGGACTTTTCAGCTTCCCATGCTCTGCCAGGTGCACAAGAAACTGGGAGGGGGCACAACCAGGACAGCTGACCCAAACTGGCCAAAGGGCTCTTCCATACCATATGACGTCATGCTCAGTATATAAACTGGGGGGGTTGGCTGGGGGCAGCGATCGCTGCTCGGGAACTGCCTGGGCATTGGTCGGTGGGTGGTGAGCAGTTGCATCACTTGTTTACCCCCCACCTCCCTGGGTTTTGTTTCTCTCTCTCTCACTGTGCTCCTTTTCATTACAATTGTTATTACTATTATTATTATTATTTTGTTTCAATTATTAAACTGTTCTTATCTCAACCCCTGAGTTTTCTTACTTTTGCCCTTCCAATTGTCTCCCCATCCCACCGGAGGGGAGGGTCAGTGAGCAGCTGTGATACTTGGTTGCTGACAGGGGCTAAACCACAAGAATACTTTAATAGTATTTAGGACTCACAGCCTGCATCTAATGTAGTGAACCTAGAAGCACTTGAGAATTGCTGGGTTTGGGCATATGCACAGATCAACCCGTCTGTTGGGGCTGTATCCCAATCTAATGTCAGATACAGACCTGAGGTACAAGCTTCTTTTTTCCTTACCCTTTTCTTCTAAACTGTGGGTTTTCTGTGGGACGTCCAGGTGTACAAGCTGGATGGTGGTGCGGCTGTTTCCCAGTGTATGCACCAAAGTGATCTGGATACAGCCAAAGTGGTAAAGTTCGGTTCACCAAAGAGTCCTGAAATAGTTTGGAAGAATTAGCCTCAAATGTTTAAATCATCTTAGGAAAAGGCATGTAGTCTTATAGGTTACAAAAGCAATTTAGAAAAATGGTGCAGTAAGGACACCTAGAATTAGAAGACTAAGTAAATCGAAGTAAAATAAAGGAATTTGAACAGGATAGAAGTCATTGTGCTTCAGGGTATGAGCCTGCTTATAAGAAAGAAGCATCAGGGAATGTTTTGCTTAGGAACAGATTATCATATTTTCTATATCATATTTTTCTCTGGAACAGATGTTATCAACAATTGTTCGAGACAAAATGATGGACTGAATGGACTAATATTGTAATTCTGTGTGGCCATTCGTATTTCCCTGTGCAGCATAAGCAATCATTCCATAAAGTTCAACAGTAAAAAAAAAAAAATGGGTCAATGGTTTTGGTATGTTGAACACAGAGCAGCTTATTAACAGTTGTACCAGATGGTTCTTTCATACACAGATATTTGTGTAAAGCTTGGAGGACATAAATTAAGGCTGAGAGATGAAGATGCCAAAAATGGCTGTCCAAATGGCTTTAGTGAGCAGACCATGAATTCTCACCAACCTAGCATCAGATTGCAAAGCAGAAGGAAAATCACTGATTTTCATTCTGGAATGAGAATAAGTGCTGGAGATTGAAAAACCTCTGTGTAAAAGACAAATCAATGATACACTGTACTGATGCCTCCCCCATGGTAACTAAAATTTCCTACCTACAGCCAAATGTCAAAGAGAATATGGTAACAGGTACCTAACTTAACTGTTACTTGTAGCAGAAAGGTTTTCTTTCCAAAAATGCCAGCTGGATCATAATTAACATGTTTAATAGGGAACTGGTGTGTGACATAAAAAATCAGAGAGAAACTGGACAGGTTATTCAGGTTGACAATTGTGGAGCTCAGCTTTCCAGCTCAGCTAGTGGCATGCCAGAACTCCCCTTCTCTCAGGGGTTCCAGCCACAGGGTAACCACCACGGTGATGCTTGGGAAGCCACAGGTACCAATGCTTTAGGTTTCCTCAATTTAAAAATTAAGAACTTTAAAACCAAAATTAGGGTAAAATTTAAGACAAAATTAAGAATAGAAACATATACAGATCTCCTACATTTTGTTTTAGGGAAACTCACTTCCAGAAGAAAAATTTCCTGCATTTTTTGCAGCCACTTATGCATGGCCTGAGTGGATTCATGATCCTCTGGATCAACGAAACTGTGGAGCATCCTGGGCTTTTTCAACCGCAAGTAATATTTTTTTTTTTCTCCTTTTAAAAATATCATTAATGTTAGATATGTGGTGAAAAATTGTAGTGATTAGTAATTAAGCAATTTCAGCTTGCTGTTCACTTTTTATCAGCAAATAGGAACATTTAAAAACACTGCAGCTTTCCCTCTAAGTTGTCCCAAAGTCTTAAAAAGTCAATCTAAGCTGTAGAGCTTTGTTTGTTTTTCATGAGTTTGTGTAACATAGGGAGATTTTTTTGGTGACAGAAAGTAGAAAATTAACTTACTAGTGCACTTTATTGAAACTAGTAGAGTAACTTTTAAAAAATCTGCAGCTCTTTCTTGCACAACTACATGCTTGACTTGAAAGCTTAAAACAGGTAGGCTTTATTTTGTTTATATGTATTTATATATTTGTGCATTTGCCATTGTCCATCCCTTCCTAATCAAATAAATTAAGTATAATCTTTTCAATAATTTTATAAGAAGTAACCCCTGAAACTGCTCAGATACTTGTGGAAGAAACTATTTTCAAATTCAGTAAGCAAAGGAATGTCAGTAATGAAATTCAACCTCATGTGCTATAGCCTCTGGTTTTATGAAAAATGGACACAACTGTTTGTGTCACTTTCTCCAAAGAAGCTACAGTGATCAGTACGTTCATTTTTCTTATGCTGCAATAAATCTCAGTACATATTGGGATATATAAAGATAGAGAAAAAAATTATGCAATCAATCTTTATGGCTTGATCCAGCCAGTGGGTCCTCGTGACTGCAGGTTTCTGCAACTGCTTCTTTAAATCACAGCAGTACGAGAAGGAAAGGAGCATTTAGGTCAGTTAATCCCAGCTCCCTGCCAAAGGCAGACTAAACACACTCTGTTACAAATGTGTCTTGTCCAGTGTAGTTTTAAAAGAGAAAACCAAGAGAGCTTCTAACAGCTCTCCTGACAGATTACTGCAAAGATGAACAGAGCTCACTGAGGGAAAGACTTTTCACATATTCAGTCTAAATTTTCCCTTTCATGATTGAATCTTTTGATTTTGATTCACATAATTATTTTCAGTGCTAAATATTATGAGATGCCTTCCCATGTTTTTTAGGTGCATCTAACATTTTAAATCTGAATTTTCAATCCTTCTTTGTAAGATTAATTGTTGCCCAATGAATAGACAAGCACTGCTGTATCATTTTTTTTCTTATCATGAGTAATTCCTATAAACTCTTCAGTAAAAAGCTTTTATACCTATGAAAATAAATTCATTATCATGTGACACCTCACAAAAGCACATAACGCAGTCGTCGTCAGCTGCCATCAGCAGATTCACTCTTCTGAAGTCTTGTCCAAAGTTCACTGAAGTTAGTGTAGATTTTGATGGGACTTTAGATTTCAAGGGATTTTTAAAATTTCTTTTCAGGTTCAAAAATGAAGGGCTAACAATAATGAAAATATAATTTAAGCACAGTTAATGACTGGAATTGGGATTTAATAATTGTTTCATTATCACTTGTTAAAGAAAGAAGTGGCTTAATTTCACCTACAACTTAGTTAACCTAGTCTACCTTTAAATCAGTGCATAAATATATTAGAACTTGGAATTATGACTGTCTGAGTTCAGACATCTAAGGTGTCTTGCAGAAGAATAGTTTTGTGTGATAAGGGAAGGAGGCCAATGAATCCCACATTTCACACATTAATATGAGCATTTCCAAATATTTTTTCCAGTAAAACCAGTATGTATACTTTTAGTCTTGAATTTTCTTCTTCATAGGACTGTTCATTTTTGCTTTTATTTTTGCTCAAATAAAGGAAGGAAAGGTAGAAAAGAAAGAAAAGAGATTTGGAGATTCAGCTGCAGAAGCGTGGGGAAGTATTTGCATCTTCTGCTGAAGTCAACCAGAGATGAATATGCATTTACAAACACAGTAGAGACTATCAGACTAAATTATGTAAATGCTTCATCTGATGTTTAGAATATGGGACTTTATGATAACCAGTAAATCTATGGATTTATAATACAACAAAGTTGCTCATGATGCTTTGCAGTTTCACAATCCTCTCTCTTGAAAGTCTATAGATTATATTTGTATTGTTTTGTAAAGATATCTACACAGACAGAAAATACTGAGGTTGTATCTCAGTCCCTCTTTCACAATAACCAGCGTGAAGTTGTGAGTAATTATTTGTTTTTGATAACACAAAATTTATTTCAAAACAGGTGTTGCAGCAGATAGAATAGCAATTCATTCTGAGGGTCAGATCACAGACAACCTTTCTGCTCAGAATTTGATCTCTTGTGATACCAAGAATCAACATGGATGTAATGGTGGAAGTATTGATGGTGCTTGGAGATATCTGAAAACACATGGGTAAATATTTTGTATAACTGTTTAGATTATTTTAACTTGAACCCGTTGCTTAAGTTACAAAGTTGCTTGTGTTACAATGATGACTTCTGACTTTTCAAAAAAGAGGCATTTAGCTCTGTCCTGGGTCAGATTAACTGTATTACTTCATCAAGACTATCACTCTCCCCCATTTACACCTTCTTTAAATCATCTTCATGAAGCCCAGGAACTACAAAGCATTTCCAAAGAAATAAGTGAAGTCTATTTTAAATGAGGGCTCTCAGTGAAAAAACTGCAACCACCTAGCTCCCATTTAAGCCTCATAACATCTAGATGTTGTCATTAACTGTAATAAAACTGGGCAAAATGGTAGCCTAACAGGAAGACAAACAAGAAAGGATATTTTTGTGTCAAAGACAATACCATAAGTGGACTCAAAACTTCTGTGGTTCCTGGGATACAGGCTCTTCATGTTAAACAACCTTCAGTAAGCAGCCGGTTGCATGAGACAATATTTTGAATATTCAAAAGGATCAAACATTGTCTTTTGATAAAGCAAATTGTAATCATCCCATCCCAAGCTTGTGCCAGAATGCAACACTGTAGCAAGGAGTATATCTAGATCCTTCTTCCTTCAGGTCAGACTAAGGAAACTTGACAGCTCTCAAACTCCACATAAACAGCTAGAAGGTTTTTAAGATGACACATAATAATTTATAGAATTGCAGAATGGTTTAGGTTGGAATGAACCTTTGGAGGTCACCTAGTCCAATGCTCTGCTCAAAGCATGACTAGCACTGAAATTAGATCAGGCCATGGCCCCGGCCATATTTTGTGTATCTCCAAGGATGGAAGTTCCACGACTTTTCTTGCAGCAGGTCACTTTTTTTGACCACTCTTGTCAAACATTTTTTTCTTATATTTAATCAACATTTCCCTTGGTACAACTTGTGACTGGTACCTTTCAGCTTTTCACTGTGCATCTCCAAAAAGAGTCTTGTTCTGTCTCCTCTGTGAGCTCTCCTTATGTAATTGAAGAGAGTAATTAGATCCCCTTTTAGCTTTCTCTTCTCTGGGCTGAACAATTTCAGCTGTCTCAGCCCCTCCTTGCATATCATGTGCTTCAGCCCCCTAAATGCCTTCCACTGGACTTGCTCAGTTTGTCAGTGTCTTTACTGGGGATCCCATAACTGAATACAGTACCCCAGATGTAACCTCGCAAGTGACAATTTGAAGGGAATAATAACTTTTCACAATGTCTTGGCTATGTTCTTGTTAACACAACCCAGTATTGATTGTCCATGTTTGCTGAGAGGGCCCATTTCTGACCCACATTCAACTTTCTGCTCCCCAGGACCCCAGGTCCTTCTCTGTGAAATAGCTTTCTACACAGGCAGTGCTCTGCCAGTACTGCTGCATGGGCGGTTCTGGCTCAGAGGCAGGATTTGGATTCTGCCTTTGTTGAACATCATGAGGTTTCTGTCAGCTCATTTCTCTAGCCTGTTAACCTTGCTCTGAATAGCAGCCCTGCATACTAACCACTCCCCACCAATTTGGCATCCTGCACAGATTTACTGAGGGTGCCTTATGTCCCACTGTCCAGATTGTTAATGGAGATGCAAAACAGTGTTGCTGTGATGTTGACTCCTGAGGAATGCCACTAGTAAACAGACACCAGTCACTTTGGTCTGTCAGCCTTTCAGCATGCCAGTTACTAACTGTGTAAGCAACTTATCTAGTCCAATAAACTAGAAGAATACCATGGGAGACCATGCAGAAAACATTGCTAAACTCAAGGTAAATTATATCCACTGCTTTTCTTCTCCATGGAGCGAGTCATTTCATCATGGTCAGATCATCTCATCATGGTGAGGCATAATTTGCCATGGTAAATCTTCGCTCCCTGTTCCCAGTCAAGTCCTTGAACTTCATGTGCCTGTAAATAGCTTCCAGGAGAATTTGCAGTAACCAGATTTTATATACTGTATAATTACATCCTGCTGTTTCTCACATTATCAGAAAATTTTTTGTACTTCCTGTTCCATACCAGAATCTATTTCCTCTCTCACTTTCATACAATCTCATCCCTTACTCTGCCTTTAATATACCTGGTACTGAGAGACAGAGAAATCTTAGGTGTGCTGTCTGTCAACTTTTAATTTTAGTTAAAAACCAAACAAACAAACCATGGAAAGAGCAAAAGAATGTCAGACATGATGCATCAGACGTCAGAGCTGACATAGCAGCCTGGGGATCCAGGTGAAGACCAAAGTGCTGTCATTCACATGGACACAGTATATGAAGTGATCATTCTGCTTTCTTCAAGTGTACCAACTATTTCTGATCTGACAAGGATTTTGTATTGTTATGGGGAGAGTTTGCGTAGAGTGTTCCTCTGTCTTTCTGTCTCAGGGTTTAAACACTAGTTTTGATCTAGGTTTTGAGTGGCAGACCCTTTAGGTGAGTGATTACAGTGAGCAGTAATGGTTCCACCCAGCAAAGGCCCCCTCAGCACCTCATGGGGGTAAAGGCAAAAGCTTCATTCATGAAGAAATGAAAATTATACCTTAACATTTAAAGCAACACTTTTCTGTAACTAGAAGAACCGGCTCCTTTTAATCAGTACCTCATGCTCTTAACAGAGTAATTACAACTTTTTCTCGCTGGATTATTTGCTTGTCTATCATGTTAAGGACAGGAGCACAAGAATTGCCGGTGTAGATAAGATAAGAGATCCATTTTAATGAGTATTATCTCCACAACAGTTGGAGCAAGCTATTTTTAGAGGAAAAGACCTAAAGAAAGTAGCAATAGGAAAACCTCCTAGTCTTCTGTTCCCTCTGACTGTTATCCCTGTATGGGCATAACCACCATGAGCCCATAATAATAAGATTCTTCCTATATCAGAAAGCTGTATTTTTTTTACCTGAAGCAGTCTGGTTAGTGACACAGCCTGTTCTGCAGAGGAAGTTTAAGTATCAAGAGTTAGCTTATTTCTATAAGGAAAGCAAGGCAGGCTGAAGCTGTACGAGGCACTTTCTTATCAACCTAGCTGTACCCACAGAGGACTTCTGCTGGTGTAAACACAGGAGTGAGAAGATTGCTCCCTGACTGGCCACAGAGTACCAGTGTGAAAGTGGTGTGCAGAGCAGGCTTTCTGACTGATGTAAGCCTGGAAGCATACCGACAGGGCACCTCACACCTGTGAACTGTCTTTTCACCTCCAAAGTCCCAAGTACTTGCATTATTGCTCAGTCACCTGAGATGCCTCATGGTATTCACCAGCCTCTTGCAGCTCAATGAGTAAAGCATCTGCAGGGCAGTTGTGAGAACCATCTGTCCTGGTTTCGGCTGGGATAGAGTTAATTTTC